AGTACAGGGAACTATATTCAGTATCTTGTAATAACATTTAATGAAAAGTAAACTGAAAAATTAAAATTAATCTGAAAAAAATCTTTTTTCAAGAATGTTACAGAATTTATTTCTTCCAGTAGTCATGTATGGATGTGAACGTTGGACTATAAAGAAAGCCGAGTGCTGAAGAACTAAAGCTTTTGAACTGTGGTGTTGGAGAAGACTCTTGAGAGTCCCTTGGACTGCAAGCAGATCAAACCAGCCAATCCTAAAGGAAATCAGTCCTGAATATTCATTGGAAGGGCTGATGCTGAAGCTGAAACTCCAATACTTTGGCCACCTGATGCGAACAGGTGACTCATTTGAAAAGACCCTGATGCTGGAAAAGATTGAAGGCAGGAGGAAAAAGGGATGACAGAGGATGAAATGGTTTGGATGGCATCATCAACTCAATGAAGATGAGTTTGAGTAGACTCTGGGACTTGGTGATGAACAGGGAAGCCAGTGTGCTGCAGTCCATGGGTTTGCAAAGAGTTGAACACGACTGAGTGACTGAACTGATGGAATTTATCATATTAATTATTATAAGGAGATAATTCAAGCCTCAGTTCAACTCTACAGCCACTGAAATCATACTACATGATTGAGTATTCTTACCCTAGTGTTGAGAATACATGTATAACTGAATAACTTTGCTGTATAAGTTTGCTGCATATGTTTGCTGTATACCTGAAACTGATACAACATTGTACATTAACTAGGCTTCAACTAAAAAACAGTTTAAAAATTATATGTAGATGGGTAGGGCAACGTAAAGGGGAAATGGTACAGAGCCTCCATCCCCTTTCCTGGTGTACCATCCTCCCAGCACCAATCCAAAAGCTCTCTGAACCCCATACTTCAGGGATTTTTATAGAAACATCATTATATAGTCATGATTAATGAAATCATTCATCATTCTGTGATTAAATCGACTTCCAACCTCTTTACCCTCCCCTGAAGTCAAGAAATGGAGCTGAAAGCTTCAACTCTCCAATCACAAGGTTGGTTCCCCTAGCAACCAGCTTCTATCCTTAAGGGCTTTCCAAAAATACCTCATTAATATAAATTCAGGTGTGGCCAAAATGGGCTTGTGATGACCAAGAAAAGACTATTGCTTTTACAGGAATTTCCAGAAGTTTTAAAACTTCTGTGCTAGGAACCAAGAGGAAAACCAAATGATATGGGCTTCCCAGGTGGCACTAGAGGTAAAGAACCTGGCTGCCAATGCAGAAGACCTAAGAGACATGGGTTCAATTCCAAGGTTGGTCAGATCTCCTGGAGGAGGGCAATGCAACCCACTCCAGTATGCCTGCCTAGAGAACCCTATGGACAGAGAAGCCCGGTGGTGAGTCCACAGGGTCACAAAGAGTCGGACATGACTGAAATGACTTATTCATGTCATCCAGTACACATGTGGCTGAAATGGGCTTATTGTGACCAACAAAAGATTCTTTGTTGCCCTTATGGGAAATTTCAGGAGTTTTAAAAGCTCTGTGCCATGCATCAAGAGAAAAATCAAGTGTACATTATCATAAATCACAAGTATATACAGGTATGTGAGAGTTGGACTATAAAGAAAGCTGAGCACCGAAGAATTGATGCTTTTGAACTGTGGTATTGGAGAAGACTCTTGAGAGTCCCTTGGACTGCAAGGAGATCCAACCAGTCCATCCTAAAGGAGATCAGTCTTGCATATTCATTGGAAGGACTGATGCTGAAGCTGAAACTCCAATACTTTGGCCACCTGATGAGAAGAGCTGACTCATTTGAAAAGACCCTGATGCTGGGAAAGATTGAGGGAAGGAGGAGAAGGGGACAATAGAGGATGAGATGGTTGAATGGCATCACCGACTCAAAAATGGACATGGGTTTGGGTGGACTCTGGGAGTTGGTGATGGACAGAGAGGCCTGGCGTGCTGCAGTTCATGGGGTGGCAAAGAGTCAGACACGACTGAGTGACTGAACTGAACTGAACACATAAATCTTCATACATACAAACACACTCCTATTCTGTTGTCTCCTGCTCACCTGTTGCCTCTTCTTAGGATGTTTTTCCTAAACATCTCCTGACTTACATATAGTTGCAGCTACATTAATGTAGTAAAAAAAAAAAAAAGCAGAGACTAGGAGTCAGCCAGCATATTCATATTCTGGATAAGTCAATAATCAACAATGTAACCAATGAGAGCTCTGGAAATAATCTCTTCAAGTTTCTTTCCAACTCTAATTCCCAGTTCTGTGTTTAGACTGCATTCCCATCATGCCCTTTCAAGTTCTCACAACCATCAGATATCATCTTCATTTCTTCAGCAAACATCAACTGGGTGCCTTTTGTATGTTAGGACCTACTCCAGGAACTAAGAATTCAGAGAAATATTAAGCCAATCTTCATCTTTAAAGAATCACAATCTAGTGGATAAAACAGACAGCTAAAGCAACAATGCCAATAACTATTTGTGGTATAAGTGCCTAACAATTAGCTCTTTTGATTGTAATCTAAGCGCCAGACATTAAGCTTTTGGTTGCCAAGGCATCCATTTCAAAGACATTCATCTCTAGAAAACACATTGCCAACTACACAACTAGATAAAAAGCCAGGCCACCCCATGCATGAAGTTCCCCTTTTGGTGACTTGGATAACTGACCACTGGAGTAACCCTGCTTTTCCCTTCCTGCATTTTAACTCTTACTTCTGTATTTAAATTCACCAATTAACAATGAATCTGCAAAACTGTAGGCACTCCACACTTGACCTCCCTAAAAAAGCAGAACCTCAGATCCACTCTCCCTTTCTCTTTCCCTTTCTTTCTCTTTAGCTGTGATCTCCCTGTGTGATCTTGGGCATGTCCTGTACCCTCCTGGTCCTGTGAGTAATAAACTTTTTTTTAAGTTCCTGATGGTTATTGCTAAGGTGCATCTTGCAATCACAGTAAGAATCAGTGTCCAATCCAGCCACAACATTGGCTCTGGTCTGGGAAACATTTGTGAGGGCCCAGAGAGTGCCTCAGGCATTCCTAACTGACAACATCACCATCAATAGGCTGAGACTGACACAAAACAAGAACTTTGATAAAGTTCTGACAGACAGCTAAGTAAGCCTGAAGGAAAGGCACATAAATCAAATCATCTCCTTGCTGTTATACTACATACTGCTAGGTCAAAGATGCTATGTGATTTATACAACTGATATAAAAATTTCAAGTAATCTACCTTGGCTATCTCCAAGATTAGACTGACCCAATTTCTATCCCAAAGATACCAAAAGGACTGTGTTATTGTTGTTCAGTCACTTGGTCATGTCCAACTCTTTGCGAACCCGTGGACTGCAGCACCAGGCTTCTCTGTCCATCACCATCTCCCAGAGTTCACTCAAACTCATGTCCATTGATTTGGTGATGTCATCCAACCATCTCAACCTCTGTTGTACCCTTCTCCTCCAAAATTCAATCTTCCCCAGCATCAGGCTCTTTTCCAATGAGTTGGTTCTTCACATCAGGCGGCCAAAGTATTGGAACTTCAGCATCGGTCCTTCTAATGAATATTCAGGGTTGATTTCCTTTACGATTGACCAGTTTGATGTCCTTGTTGTCCAAGGGGCTTGCAAGAGTCTTCTCCAGTTGTGAGCACATTTTAATTAGGAAAAGGTAGAATCTGAGCATTTCTGTTTATATTTCACTGGTGAGAACTTGGTCACACGGCCATGCTAGCTACAAAAGAGCCTGGGAAATGAGTTATCTAGCTAGTTGTCTATGTGTCTAAATAAGTGTAGGAACATGGAGTTCAATGCCAAAAAGTATAATAAATGGAGAATTAAATATTGAATACAACTGTGAAGTTTCTGTCACAAAAAACTACCCTTAATTTCCCTGGAATCCAGATTTCATGTGACTCCCATCTCATCAGTCAATAAAGCTTAGCAGTTCCCTGCCATTATGGTCACTTTCCAGTCAAAAAAGAAATGGGGAAAGTGGGATGGCATATGCCTTCCTTTTAAGAGCATGCCCTGGAAGTTGCATCTAACACCTTCTCTTATATCATTGAACCTGAACCTAGCTGCAAGAGATTCCAGGAAATGGACTCCATTAATTGGCTGAGCATGGGCCCAACGGTAAAACAAGGGAAAAAATGAACAGATATTAGAAGACAATGCAATTTCTGCCAAGAAACCAACAGTGAGATAAGCCATAACTGGTGTCTGGGGGGGGGGGGGGGAAATCTGGTGTGTTAAAATCTGTTTTAACAGTGAAATCTGTTTTCACTCAAGAACCAAAAAGCAAGTGGTTAAGATTCTCATATGTGTATGTCTAATTAAATGTGTGCATGTAGGCACAAAAACTGTAATAAAGTCATGCTCACAAGCTACTCCACTCCCTCTTCAGGTGCAAGAGTTCCCTGAAATTGCCTTCCTAGACCACCTCCTCAATTATTTTAGAAAAGAAAGATTCTCTTCTGCTAAAAGGAAATCTAAGCTGATTTTCCTAATAAAATGGGAGTTAGAAGGGTAGGACATATAATAAAGCTAATAAGTCTAGACTTGATTAATAGGAAGAAATATTTAGAGAATTGAAGAATGAGTTGAGTGAGCCTAGGGAGATGAGAGAAGAGCAGGGAAGAGAAAGGAGATTCTAATGAATTCTAAAAACCAGTATTATTAATTTTTCTATTAACACATGACTAACTAATAGCCTTGAGACTTAAAAACAACATAAATTTGGTATCTCACAGTTCCCTTGGATCAAAAATCTAGACACACCTTTTCTGGACCTTCTGTTCAGCATCTCACAAAGTTACAGTCAATATACTGACTATGCTGCAGTACTCATTTGGAGCATGGTTCTTTTCCAAGCACATTCACTCATTCCATATCCTGCATTCAATTCCTTGTGGTTGTAAGACTGAAAAAGTACATACTTTCTTGCTAGCTGTTGGTAACTGGGTACCATGCTCAGTGCCCAAAAGTCACCCACAGTTCTTACCTTAGGTCTTATATTCGGGTCACAATATAGTCAAATTTGCTTTCTTCTGGGCCACCACATCTTCTAATCTTCATCAGATCAGGTCATTCCCATCCAGGATAATCCCCTTTGATTAACTCAAAGTCAGCTGATCAGTAACCTAATATTCCCTGGACTCATCTATACTCAAGGGTATCCCAGATAATAAGCCAAGTAAGGTGCCTTCCAGGCTCCCTTCCCAGGATGCCTGCCACGCTAATGGAACACACATATGTCACAAACCAGAAGATACAAAGGAAAGGAAAGGAGGGAACTTACAATCTGAGTTGACTGTCGATTTTAAAGAAAAAGAAAGGGAGGCCATATCATACTAAATTAGAGATTGCTAAGCAGGAAACTCGAGTAATATAGAAGCTTAGGAGTTTAAAACACATTTTAACCACCAGAAAGAAATTGAGTCACTGAAAGTTGCCATCATCTCCTTTCTCACAGCAATACCTTTTATTCCATCAGAATGGCATCTTTAACAAACATTCTTTTAACATATTATTTCACGGGTTTACCGTGTGTCACTAGCTTAATATTCATGGCTCAGGGGTAAAGAATCCACCTGCAATGTAGGAGACTCGGGTTCAGTCCTTGAGTTGGTAAAATTCTCTGGAGAAGGAAATGGCAACCACTCCAATATCCTTGCCTGGGAAATCCCATGGACAGAGGAGTCTAGGGGGCTACAGTCCATGGGGTCACAAGAGTCGGACACGACTGAATCTGAGTTGACTGTCTATTTTAAAGAAAAAGAAAGGGAGGCCATATCATACTAAATTAGAGATTGCTAAGCAGGAAACTCGAGTAATATAGAAGCTTAGGAGTTTAAAACACATTTTAACCACCAGAAAGAAATTGAGTCACTGAAAGTTGCCATCATCTCCTTTCTCACAGCAATACCTTTTATTTCATCAGAATGGCATCTTTAACAAACATTCTTTTAACATATTATTTCACGGGTTTACCATGTGTCACTAGCTTAATATTCATGGCTCAGGGGTAAAGAATCCACCGGCAATGTAGGAGACTTGGGTTCAGTCCTTGAGTTGGTAAAATTCTCTGGAGAAGGAAATGGCAACCACTCCAATATCCTTGCCTGGGAAATCCCATGGACAGAGGAGTCTAGGGGGCTACAGTCCATGGGGTCACCAGAGTCGGACACGACTGAGCAACGAAACCACCACCACACCTCAAGAGCTTCTCCAGGGGATAATATATGAAAGCATCAGGTTGCCTATGAAACCCTAGAATTGTTCATCTAAATGCCCATATATTCTTTATCTGACTCTGAACTATATTAGCTCTGAAAATTTGGTGTGATGATATATTCAAATTTTGTCAGTAGAAATTAATAAAACCATATGGTATCACAACACAACATAATAAAACATAACAAAGAGTCCCCATAAGAAAAACTATGGAAAAAAAAAAAGAAAAGAAAAACTATGCTTATAGAAGATGCCATTCTTCTACAAACTAAAAGATATCTATGCTGATTTGTCCTTGGGGAAAAGACTGACTTTTAGATAATTGAATCTGGTATTAAAATAAGAAGTTATTAAGAACTGGATACATATCCCTCCACTTAGAAGCTCTAGGACTCTGGAAAAATCACTTAACTCTTTACAGATTCCATTGTCTTGGCTATGGAATAGAATCTACCAAGTAGAGCTGTTGTGAAGGTTAAGTGAACAATGTGTATAATGTATGTGGTTTGCTACATACAGAATAGCTCAACAAATGTTAGCTATTTTTATTTAATGTACAGGCACTAAGCATTCATGTCTTTCTGTATGTAGCAACTAGATTCTTGAGAAAGATTCAGATACAAAATTAGGAAAAAGTCCACCCAAGTTCCTTCCTAAATAACAATAATATTTCTAGCTGCTGGAGGAAAATATTGCATGTAATCCTGCTCAAGTCTTTTATTAGATTCTTGCTTGACTATTAGGGCCACTTCTGAATTTGGTATTTAGAATACTGACTAAATTTATTCTTTACAGAACTCAGCAACATTCTATTCTCCGTAGCTACACGTCTTCAGCATCCATTATCTATAATTTTCTTTTTCTGTCTTCCTAGAAGTGTTCTTATTGGCAATGGTTACTAGCTGGGCCTTCTTTTCTCTATAATTACTTCTTTAGAAAAATATTCTTATTTTGGTGACAAATTATTCTCCCTATGTGCAGTCAGAGTTCTTTCAACTATTGACCCTCTTCTTGCCCTAACCCAGGTCAGCCGCCCAGTATGCCAGCTTGCTAATTATTTTGTTAGGCCCACTATTTCAAGAAAATCTTTCTTTCCTGCATTATATATGGACTTGGAACATGAGTGTTAGATAAACAAGGCATAATGAAAACACTTAAGAGGCAGAAGAAAATAACAGAGCTTCTTTTAAGTGAATTAATGTCATAAATATAAGGTAAACATATTTTTAGGGATTGTTCCAGGTGCAGACCAGAAACAGAATTTTGTTAAGTCTTTATTAATCTCCTGTATTATGCCAAGCACCCAAATAAGTGCTGAAAGCCCAACTGTAAACAAGACAAATGCAATCTCTGCCCCCACAGAGCTTGGAGTACAGGGGATAAGCAGAGAAGACAAATGCCAAATAATTATAGTATAATAATGGATGAAGGCAGGGGTGAGGTAAGTACTAAGAGTTATCAGGTGAGAGAGAAAAAAATCATCTATACAAAAAATAATCACAACTTCTGTCCTCCCAAAATTCATATTGAAGCCCTAATCCCCAAAGGGATGTGTTTGGAGGTGGAGAACTGGGACGAAATCAGGTTTACATGAGGTTATAAGAGTGGGATCCCAAGTTCAGATCAGTGTCTGTACAAAAAGAGGAAGAGACCAGAGCTCACTTCCTCTTCAGCCTGATGAGTTTACAGTGAGAAGGTGACTGTCCATAGGACAGGAAGAGGGCCCTCACCAAGCCAAACCTGCCAGCACCTTGATCTTGAACTTCTCAGCCTCTAGGACTGTGAAAAAATAAATGTCTGTTGTTTTTAAATTCATTTTTAAATAGAATACATTTTAGCATACTTTATAAAACATCAGTCTATGATGGATTGTTAATAGAAGTACCAGCTCTTCACCCCAGATGACTTAAGAAACCATATGCAAGACTACATTTTCCATTGTCTTCTTGTGTCGAGGGACAAGAATGGTGTGCGAGAAGGGATGTTAAGGGATGTGCATCACCTCTGCACCAACATCGGATGAGGTGTTGTGCCTTCTCCACCCTCTTCCTCCTTTCATCAGCTTCACACAGATGATGCCAAAGTCTGAAGGGCATAGAGCTACAAACAAGAGGCTAATTCCTCAATCATCACAAAACAAGAGGCTAATTCCTCAATCATCACATGAAAGCTGCTCACTGACCAAAACCAACTGTATTATGTGAGTATTATGGGTTGAATTAGACGGAAGTCATAACTCCCGATATCTCAGAATATGGCCTTATTTGGAAAAAGAGCCTCTAGAGAAGTAAACAATTTTAAATGAGGTCATCAGTGTGAGCCCTAATTCAATATGATGGTGTCCTTAAAAAAGGAAGAAAGGGTCACAGAGACACACACACACAGAGGACAGACAATGTGAAGACACCCAGGAAGAAAACAGCCACATAACCGGAGTGATGCATCTACAAGTCAAGGAACACAAAGGATTACTAGCAAATACCAGAGGCTAGAAAAGACAAAAAAAGAATTCTCCCTGAGAATCATCAGAAAGAATATCTGATATCTTGATTTCAGATTTCTAGGCTCCAAACCTGTGAGACAATAATTTTCTGCTGTTTTAAGCAGTCCTGCTTTTGATACTTTATTATATCAGCCCTAGGAAGTTCATATAATGAATAAGAAATAAACTGTGCAAAACCACTGAAATTAGGAAGTTAAATTAGTTAGCATCACCCTAACTAATGCAGAGGCTTCCCTGGTGGCTCCGTGGTAAAGAATCTGCCTGCAAAGCAAGAGATGCGGGTTTGATCCTTGGGTTGGAAAAAATCCCCTGGAGAAGCAAAGGGCAACCCACTCCAGTAGTCTTGCCTGGAAAATCCCATGGATGGAGGAGCCTGGCGGGCTGTAGCCAGCCCGTGGCCACTGCAGAAGAGTCAGACGCTACTTAGTGACTAACCACCAACTAACGCAGAGAATGTATTTTAAGCAAGTGCAATGTAGACTATATTGTCAAAGACAATACCTCTCCAGTAAGGCATTTAACAGAGATCCGAGAAATGAGTAGGAATCATCTAACAAAAGGAGAGAGAGGGTGTTGGGACAGGGCAAAGAGTTGATCACAGCAGAAAAGCAGAAGGACTATTTAAGACAGTCCTGAGACAAAAGAGAATATGGTGGGTCCAGAAACTAAAAGAAAAAACAAACAAAAAAACAATCCAGAGTATCTGGAGCATGGAGAGTGGGATGATAGAGGTTAAGTAGGTAGGTAGGTTGGTAAACAGGGATCAGAGCCTCTAGTTAAGAACTCGAGCCAGAAAGGTGTTTGTCATTAGCTTTAGGGAGGACAATATGGTTCACAGACATTCATGGAAAAGGGGAATTGTTTTGTTTCTGATCTAGTCAAAAAGTTACTTCACACATAGAGAAAGTCAGGATTGATTAACAGCTTCCTGTCCCTGCTGCCCACTGCCCAAGTCCAGAGGAACCTGGAGGAAAGAAAAGAGATGCTGCTGAAAATACAGAGCCACACAAAAGCAGCCAATGCTTTGAAAAGAATATTGAAGAAAAGCAATTAAAAAAAAAAAAACTGTGGTTAGAAGATGTCTTAGTTTGTTCAGGCAACTATGACAAAATAGCACAGACTGAATGACTTACAAACAACAGAAATTCATTTCTCAGTTCTGGAGGTTGGAAGTCCAAGACCAAGATGGTCGGATTCTGGTGAGAACTTTCTTCATAGTTTACAGACTTCTCACTGCATCCTCCCACCATGGAAAGAGGGTAAGAGAGCACTTTGGAGTCCCTTTTATGTGGGCACTATCCCATTCAGGAAGGCTCTGCCCTAAGATCAACTCCAAAGGCCACATTCCTAATACTATTACCTTGGAGGTTAGAATTTCAATTCACAGATTTGGGGGTAACATAAACATTCAGACCATAGCAGAATTTAAGCACCAAACAATTACAGAAGCAGAAAATGAGAAGTTCTAGACC